CAGGTGGTTCTTCTAACACTAGTCCACAATCAGAATCAGAAATACTTTAATAATCCCAGAGGGAAATTACTTTTGTTACGACTGCAGGTACAGCTTTATATACACTCACCGGCCACTTTATTAGGTACCCCATGCTAGTAACGGGTTGGACCCCCTTTTGCCTTCAGAACTGCCTCAATTCTTGGTGGCATAGATTCAACAAGGTGCTGGAAGCATTCCTCAGGGAGGTTGGTCCATATTGACATGATGGCATCACACAGTTGCCACAGATTTGTCGGCTGCACATCCATGATGCGAATCTCCCGTTCGACCACATCCCAAAGATGCTCTATTGGATTGAGATCTGGTGACTGTGGAGGCCATTTGAGTACAGTGAACTCATTGTCATGTTCAAGAAACCAGTCTGAGATGATTCCAGCTTTATGACATGGCGCATTATCCTGCTGAAAGTAGCCATCAGAAGTTGGGTACATTGTGGTCATAAAGGGATGGACATGGTCAGCAACAATACTCAGGTAGGCTGTGGTGTTGCAACGATGCTCAATTGGTACCAAGGGGCCCAAAGAGTGCCAAGAAAATATTCCCCACACCATGACACCACCACCACCAGCCTGAACCGTTGATACAAGGCAGGATGGATCCATGCTTTCATGTTGTAGACGCCAAATTCTGACCCTACCATCCGAATGTCGCAGCAGAAATCGAGACTCATCAGACCAGGCAACGTTTTTCCAATCTTCTATTGTCCAATTTCCATGAGCTTGTGCAAATTGTAGCCTCAGTTTCCTGTTCTTAGCTGAAAGGAGTGGCACCCGGTGTGGTCTTCTGCTGCTGTAGCCCATCTGCCTCAAAGTTCCACGTACTGTGCGTTCAGAGATGCTCTTCTGCCCACCTTGGTTGTAACGGGTGGTTATTTGAGTCACTGTTGCCCTTCTATCAGCTCCAACCAGTCTGGCCATTCTCCTCTGACCTCTGGCATCAACAAGGCATTTCCGCCCACAGAACTGCCGCTCACTGGATGTTTTTTCTTTTTCGGACCATTCTCTGTAAACCCTAGAGATGGTTGTGCGTGAAAATCCCAGTAGATCAGCAGTTTCTGAAATACTCAGACCAGCCCTTCTGGCGCCAACAATCATGCCACGTTCAAAGTCACTCAAATCACCTTTCTTCCCCATACTGATGCTCGCTTTGAACTGCAGGAGATTGTCTTGACCATGTCTACATGCCTAAATGCACTGAGTTGCCGCCATGTGATTGGCTGCTTAGAAATGAAGTGTTAACGAGCAGTTGGACAGGTGTACCTAATAAAGTGGCCGGTGAGTGTATATATATATTGCTGTGCCATATGCCATGATCATACTTTTTGGACATTGGGAACCAGTGTCCATATTTCATCTTGATAGGATGACCAGAGGAGAGGACGCAGCTTTGGTGAATAACAGCTGGGGGACTTCTGCAGCCCCCCCCCCCCCTTTTTCAGCCAAAGCAGTCACATGGAAACCATCAGAGGTGTGAAAACCTACCCCCCTCCCTGGGTGGGCGAACAAAACCACAGAGCACACAAGACTCTGTCTCTTTCTCTTTTTGCCTCTTCTGCTCCTGCGCTCAAGGCTGGGAATAGAAAAGAACATAAAATCACAACTATATATATATAAATACACATCCAACTACACAAGATAATAACAATAAAAATATAAAAATGTATACACATATAGCTCTTCTGTATATATATATAAAGTGATAATCCAAGTAAAGTGATACGTGATGTGCAAAATAGTACATAAATGTCAATTTCAGGGCGGGGGGGGGTCTGATTCACTGAGGGAGGCGTTATATAGGTTGATGACCACAGGTAAGAATGATTTCCTGCGGCGCTCTGTGGTGCATCTGGGTAGAAGGAGTCTTCTGCTGAAGGAGCTCGTCTGCTGGACCGGTGTGTCGTGGAGAGGAAGTGGACTGAAACCTGGACAGCATCCTCCTCTTTGCCACGGGGGTCAGGGTGTCCAGCTGCTCCCCCACAACATCACCGCCCCTCCAGATCAGTTTGTTCAGTCTGTTGTTGTCAGCGACCCTCAGCCCACTGCCCCAGCATGTGACAGCGAAGCAGAGCGTGCTAGCAAGAGCTGACTCATAAAACATCCTCAGCATTGTCCCACAGATGTTAAAGGACTTCAGCCTCCTCAGGAAGAATAGTCAGCTTTGGCCCTTTTTGTAGACCGCCTCGGTGTTTCTAGTCCAGTCCAACTTATTGTTAAACAGTTAAAAAGTTCGTAATGACCAACTGATTCGTTAGTTTAGTCTGCATGTAAGCTTAGAAATGATAATCCATTAAACACCATGAAACAGAGAGGCATAACTGTAGCTTAAAGGTCCCATATTATGCTAAATTCACATTACAAACATTTTTGGAACTGTAATATGTGTCATCAATCCTGTGTATGAGGTTTACAAAAGAAAAAGAAATCCTTTCAAATCCCCATGCCCTGTTCATACTGGAAGCCTAGGATGTTAGGTACAGCAGGTAGGTGGAGGGAGGGGAACACCTTCAGGCTGATTCATACTTCAACACAGTGTATTCTCATTATTAGTTCGTATGAAATCGTAAGAAAAGTTATGCACCGTAATTTCGTACGTTTTAGACGTTTATTTTTGTCGCATTTCGTCGTATTTTTACGTCTTGCCTCGAGACAAGATATCCTTGCGCATGCGCATCTTACGCACCATTAAATAACATAGAATTTAACATACAATTAACCCTAAGATACAAAACAGCAAGCAACGTAGTTAGAGACCTGAAGAAGTGATGATTGCACTGTTTTTCCCAGTTTTACGTCCGTCTGCGGATCTGCTTTTTTCTTCTGTCTGGCTGCGCATGCGCACTGATCTGTATTTTCGAGGAAAACGTCCAAAACGTACGAAATACTGTGCATAACTTTTCGTACGATTTCATACAAACTGATATTGAGAATATGTTGTTTAACACCAGGTCGTCTGTGAGGTGTCGCAGTGGACAAAAAGACGTCCCCGCCACTCCCCCCAAAGCCCCCCCCCCACCCCCGCAGACACTCCGCTGCACCTCTCCCAAGCTGTAGGTGACCGCAGACAGGAGGCCGGCTTGTTTTGTTTGTATGACTGCAATTTGGGAAAAGAACTCGTGAAGTTGGACCAGCTAGAAGAGCGAGGAGCGCGAGAACGCTGGGGTCCTTTTTCCACCTGGATCCCCGCTCTTTTTGGCCCTAATGTCCCTCATGACCCACAGCCTATAGTGCAAACCACACTGAACATTGAGCATAAATCAAAAATGTCTGCATCAAGCTCACTGTGACCCACTGCTGTAGGAGTATAACCAGCCCTTAACCACAGAAATAGAGAGAAACATCTTCAAATTCACCCAGGGACAGTCACCAAACCGCAGGAAAGAAGGAAGACGCGCACAGAGGCAGACACTAAAATATTCTCTACAGCCTTCATGCATTCGCTATCCTCCCAGGCAGGGCCAGACTGGCCTGGTTAGATGGAAGCTTTTCAATTCAAAGTATCAGAAATAATGTCAGACATGCAGATTGAACCAGACCAGCGGGTCAATGCGCATGTTTTCTAAGCCAAAACAAGGCTTTGCTTTCGTCCATTATTTTTATCTATTTTAGAATGACTCTGACGTGGATGACTGAGAATCTTCATCAGTATTATTAATATCCCTTCTGCATTTCGAATGGGGAGTTAGTCTGTGCCTAAATATTTCAGTGTCTAGTTTTAAATCATAATAAATTGTTTGGATCCCAAAATTACTTTTAAATAATCAATTCCAACAACTGGACAGCGTTGCATTCCAGGCTTATAGGGCCATGAAAGTTGAACCAAAAAACAGGTCCATCCCTTAGTAATGGGGAGTGGCTAGGGGTCGTTGTTGGTTTGGCTAAATAGGTGAGATGTTTTGTCCCCTGCATGGCGGTAAGGATTGAGATGATAGCGGGAAGGAATCAACTCTATTGCTGAAGGTTGTTTTTTCTTTCTTAACATAAATGGCTTCCTTCCTCTCAAACCACCTGTCTTCTTTGTCCAAAATGTGAACATTCTGGTCCTCCAAACAATGTCCTTTGTCCATCAGGTGTAGATGTACAGCAGAGTCTTGTCCAGAGGAGGGCGCTCTTCTGTGTTGGGCCACAAGTCTGTGGAGAGGTTGTTTGGTTTCTCCGATATAAAGATCAGAGCATTCCTCACTGATCTGAACTGCAGACCAGTGTTGATTTCGTCTACCAGGACGATGACAAAAAGGTTTTTTCAACGCCCCTTTTTCCCTTGACGATGACGAGATGATGCACAAAAAATGTTGATGATGTCATACACACTCCGCTTTGTTTTAAGAAAATAGAAATCTAAAAAATCTAACGGCGGATGTCTGGGGGACAGTGATTGGCCTCCATGTTCTGAATGCTGGCGTACCATAAAGAATAAATGATGAACAGTTTAGTTTGTGCCTTCAAGTCGTTGCCCATAGGAAGACGTTACTGGATATAACCTAACCGTTCTGTCGGGTTCTTTGATAGGTTTGTTCTTAAGAAGAACTGAAATACAGACTTATCGATACTATTCCTGCAGGAAGGAGAGACAGTTGAACCCCAGACTCAAACATACTGTCTCCCACTGGACCTCCTCTGCAGAGCGTTTATTAACAGAACATGACGCATGGTTACAAACAGAGTATTGTTCTGACAGAGCAATTGATCAGTTCATGAAGACAGAATGCTGCACTAGAATGACAAGGCAGGATGGTCATAAGCACACATTATTTTTATAATCATCATTGAATAAACCTGACACGTTCCTTCTTGCTGAATGTTTGGGAGTCCTTATAAGCATGGAATGTCCTCCCCTGGATATAATCTAAAATAAGCTGAACGGTTAATTATCTTGTCTTATTCTAGTTGTTTAAGGCAGTCCTTGATTTTCTTTCTGTAGGCCTTGGTTGGATCTCTTTTCAAGATCCATACGTGTTGGTGTCACTCAGTAGAGTGAGAGTTGTGTCCTGGTAGTAGGAGGTGTTGAGGACCACAGTGCATCATCCTTTCTGCTGGTAATATGGTGATGCTTTGGTCCTGGCTGAGGGACGTTATGGATTTCATTTCCTGTGGTGTGACATTGGAAGGAGGGGATTTGATGCTGGTCAGGGTAACTGTTACTTTCCTCCTGAGAAACTCTGCCTCTGTTTCAGCCAGGTTGTTGTTCCTGACGGCAGGTTCGGTGCTCAGCTCCATAAAGGGTATTTCTTGTGGGAAATGGAAAAAATTCAGGCCTTTACTCAGAACATTCGTCTCTGGTTTTATCAGCAGCCTGCAAGACTGGTTTAACCCACCTGTCCTGGGCCTTGATGTTTCTGGGTCCTCCTGTGGTATGTTGAGGTCTTTTTTAAATGCTCCTTTTTGTTGTAATTTATTGAATTTATCTTTTGGTCTGTCTTTTATTTTCTGGTGTGGTGAAAGATGGACCTTATTAACAAACGTGAAAACTTTTTCAAACCAAGTTTCAGAGGGAAGGTTGAACAGCTTCTGCCTTGTCTGATCAATATGTGAGAGATGGTGAAGTGAGTCCGGCTTATCCTTTCACTGAGCAGCTTCCTAACGATCTGCCCTGTGTCCTTTGATAGTATAGTCTTAAGCTGTTTGGAGGAGTCTTTGCTGTCTGCATGTCAAATTGAAATGAAGATGGTTCCTATAATCGCTCACGCACTCCTCCGAGGATGTCCTTCCTAAAATGGAGTGCAATATGCTGGGGAAGATTCTCAGTCATTCATGTCAGAGTTATTTCATAGGAAGCTTTCTCCCCATTACTAAGGGGTGGACCCGTTTTTCAGCTCAATGTGTTTTCTAAGCCATAACAAGGCTTTGTTGGGCTACTGTATAAAACCTGGAAGTCAACACTAATGCAAACATTTTGAATAAAAAAGCTTCCTGGATGGAAGAGAAATGTCTTCAAACTTGGAAACAAAGTCCAGTAGATTGATTTTTGAACTTTTTTGGAATGACGATGACCTGGATGACTGAGAATCTTCAGCAGCTTTAATAATCAATGAAGAGTTAGATAGAACCCAGAGCCCACTCTGTTAAATGTGAGGTGAAAAAGGGCTACACCCAACATAACGTTTCCACATGACATATAAAATATGTCAAATAAATGCACATCAAGTATTTCAGAGAAAGATGAAAGAACAGGTTCTGAAACTGAGATTTACATTTAGTACTAGTCAGATGCCTGTGTTGAAAGATGGCCCCATTGGCAGGGCCTGCTCTAAGTAATCCCACATTCACTCAGTCATCCAGACACACCATTAGCCCTCATTATCTCCCAACCATCAGCCTCTATATGAACAGCAAAGACAGAGAAAGGCCCACGCAGATAAAAGGCTGATTAAGAGATGAGTCAGCTGCTGAAAATCACAGCCGTCCTGCTTGCTGAAGTTCAACTGGGAAAAGGAGAAAAGATATAGACAATAGTTCATTTGAAATGAAATGAGATATAATAACATGATATTATAGAATAACATGTTGCACAAAATACATAAATCATAACTGTCCTTCTGATGAAGTTTTTCAGTTTTCAGTTTATTTCTATAGCTCCAATTCACATCCTGTCATCTCAGGTCACTTTCCAGTTCACCAGATCATCCAGTCAGATTGATTCAAAGTTTTCTATCTAAGGAAAACCAGCTGATTGCATCGACTCATTGACTCTTCAGCAATCCCTCACACTAAGCATGCTTGTAGCGACAGTGGAGAGGAAAAACTCCCTTTGAACAGGAAGAAACCTCCAGCAGAACCAGGCTCAGTGTGAGCGGCCATCTGCTGAGGCCCACTGGTGTTCAAGGAGACAGAAGCAGACATAGAAAAAGAAGCATAGATACAAAAGGCAACTGTCAACCAGCTCCACAGGCGACCCCGTCCAGGAAACACACAGCCAGGCAGACGAGCTCCGAGCCAGCTCCCATGTCAGAGGATGAAGAGAGCACATCCAGTTAGTCACAGTCAGAGAAACAGGACTACACTGGAAAACAGGCCAAGCTCCAACATCTAGAAACAAAGGTGTTGATGGCAGCAGCACAGCTGATATTTCTCTCCAGGATGGAGTCACAGCCAAACAGGAACAGACCAGATGAAGCTACTATGAGAAAAAGCAGAGAGAGCAGAACGTTAGAGATTGAACTAACAGATTCTGCAGAGTGGGAGAATAGAGAGAGAATGAAGCAGAATGATGAAAAAGGGGTCCCTATGTCCTCCAGCAGTCTAAGCCTATAGCAGCAAGGTTCATTCGAACATCTTATGGTGGGTCATCTTTAGCAGCAGAACTTGGTGGGAATTCAGCTCTGTTATTTCTTTGATGGCAAAATCTTTGTGTCAGTAAACATACATTACTTATTTCTACTGGTGAAAACCTCGATGTAATAATAAAAAAACTTTTTAAAATGGCCCTCTCCTCCTACCGATGCCCACCCGATGATTCCTGCTGGGCGCCTGTAGATTTAAATGGGTCTGTGTCTTCAGGGTCAGACGACGTCTATAGAGGAACATTAGTGTGAGGAGAAGGAAAAGTGGTTCTGAAATTCATAAAAGTAGAAGTTGATGTTGGGCTTTAAAGATTAATTGCATCAGACAGTTAAAAAAATCCAAACAAAACAGTGAAAATTAATTTGGATTAAAATAGAAAATGCATATATTTATTCATGAGCTATAAGCCTGTCTTTGTTAAGGAGTATTTTTGTAAAAAAAAGCACAGATTTCTTTTTTAATTATAACCTTATATCTGCTGTTTTGAACAAATCAAGTCGTGAAAATCTGAAATCTGAAGCCTTTTTTATTACTTTGAGGGTTTATAAAGAGATTTATTAAAATGATCTGTAAAAATGTCAGGAGGAATTAGAACTTGTTTTCACTGTGGATTATTTTACTACTGTAATATTAATGTTTTATGTTTAATTAATATTACAGCTCTCTCTTGTCAGTGAGTCAACATCATATTTGTTGTGTGTGGGAATTCATTAGCCAAGGCACCTGGTTCTTGCTCTGTAACTGGGAATACTGGACTTCTGGGGCTTCTTGTGTGGAGAGGAAAGAACATGTTGCTGTGTGTTTGTAGCAGCAGATGACTTTCAATGTTTTCCTTGTGATCCTCCAAGAACAAATTCACGTATATCTGCCTCTGTGTGCATTTGCATAACATGTAATTAGAAACACCTCTGAAGCGGTGCTGGTGGATTGCAGGGGAAATACCATTAACCTCTGCTGCCACTGCAGGAGGAGCTCAGAGATTACAGCTGCAGCAGAAACAGGTTCTACTACTGGACTGTATGGGAGGTTCTTCATGCAGCTGGGGATTCATTCTGGACCCTCTAAACAGACGGGTCACAGGCAGCAGAATGTGGGCCACTGTTATGAGACTCACCGTGCATAGAGCAGCGCTGGGAAATTCCAGTTCCTGAGGGCCGGTTCTGCAACTTTTATTTCAATTTGAAAAACTCACACGAAGAGAAAGACAGAAGAAATTTATTGATACAATTACTTTGTCTCTGGCGCTCAGACCTCGGCAGGAAACATAGCACTTAATTCTGGTAGATATGCATGAACAGGAGCAAAGAAAAGAGCTGTTCCCCTCCAGGCCTGAAACTGGTGGTGGAGTGCAGATAGATGGAGTTGGTCAGTCTGTAGACTTCTGGTTAGAGAGACGGTCTGCTGAGCTTTATGGGGAGATCCAGTGGACTGCGTGAGCTGATACTAGAGCTTCACTCAGGGACCTGGAAGATGGAAGTCCAGCTTGGATAACACAGGTTGAGAGAACCTTTCCATGATGAGCAGGCATGAAGCGACAGTGGAGAGGAAAAAACCCATCCAACACTTTGTCAGCAATGTGTTGGATGGGATAAGATGTTGACAAATGCTAATTGATAACACTCCCTGTAGAATAACAAGATGTTCCTGTGAATGAACAGGCGATGGTGAAAATAAGCCCTAAAACCTGCTCAGATGATTAGAGCAGTGTTTACCTGGTTGTCCCTCTGTTGTTCCCTGGCCAGGTAATCCACAGCCAGTCATTTCTTTAACCAACGTGTTTCTGTAGATTTGTTCTCTGCTGAGCTGCCTGCTGAGCAGAGAGAGGCTGCAGCCAGCGGACCTCTGTTTGACTCTTTCACTATGAAAGAAGAGCCCCTCTGATCACATCATGTAGAAGCTATGAGGAGTCCACTGTTTGATAGAGTAAAATGTTCTCCTGTATCTGATTCTTTAAATATAAAGATTTGATTAATGAGCCTGGAAACTGAAGCTCAGCCTTTGCTTCAGTTAGTTCATGGTTTCTATAAAAAAAATAAAGAAAACAGATGACCTTAGTGATCCTGAGTCTGACAACAAGTTACCATCAACAAAACAACAGCTTTACTAGTCATTCTAGTCTGGTAGACTAGTCTTACTAATCATGAGTCTAAAGGAAGGATTTTGGGGTTCACATGGTACCCCAATAATGATGTCATCATCCACCTGCTACAACAAGCCTGCTGTCATTTAGACAAGGCAGACAGCACTGTGAGGATCATGTAGGAGAGGAAGGTTTGTGTTGGATCCAGGCAAACCAGACCAGTTCAAGAAAAACAGCTGTGTGTGTGTGTAGTCCTGTTCTGTTGTTGTTTTATTGTATTTTTATTCTAACACTGAAATCTATCAGGTCTGTTATTGTTGCAGTCATGCAGTGTGGCTAAAAGGAGAATTGCCTATATATGATTTACATCAATCGATCATAATTGCTATTGTTAAATGCAAGCACTTTATTTCAATCATTAAAAAATATTTTTCACTACTAAATAAAGTGTTGCTATATAAATTACAGTTAATGTTGTATCTGTAGCATAGTGGAATAATGACCTTTCCAAATCAAACTTCCAGCCCATCCTCAGAGCCACAGAGGCCTGAACTGCTTGTCCACAAAATAATCGACTGACCGCACCTTACAGGAACTGATCTCATCTTGCAGGGACTGATCACAACTTGCGGGGACTGACCTCACTCTGCAGGGACCAACCGCAACCTTACAGGGACCGACTGTACCTTGTTTCAGCCAACCTCACCTTGCAGGAACCAACCTCACCTTGCAGGAACCAACCTCACTTTGCAGGGGCCAACCTCACCTTGCAGGAACCAACCTCACCTTGCAGGGGCCAACCTCACCTTGCAGGAACCAACCTCACCTGGGGCCAACCTCACCTTGCAGGGACCAACCTCACTTTGCAGGGTCCAACCTCACCTTGTGGGGACCAACCTACACCTCACAGGGAACGACCTCACCTTGCAGGGACTAATCGCATCTTGCAGGGACTGACCTTACCTTTTAGGGACCGACCGCACCTTGCAGGGACCAACCTCACGTTGTAGGGACCAACCTCACCTTGCAGGGACCAAACTCACCTTGTGGGGACCAACCTACACCTCACAGGGAACGACCTCACCTTGCAGGGACTAATCGCATCTTGCAGGGACTGACCTTACCTTTTAGGGACCGACCGCACCTTGCAGGGACCAACCTCACGTTGTAGGGACCAACCTCACTTTGCAGGGTCCAACCTCACCTTGTGGGGACCAACCTACACCTCACAGGGAACGACCTCACCTTGCAGGGACTAATCGCATCTTGCAGGGACTGACCTTACCTTTTAGGGACCGACCGCACCTTGCAGGGACCAACCTCACGTTGTAGGGACCAACCTCACCTTGCAGGGACCAAACTCACCTTGTGGGGACCAAACTCACCTTGTGGGGACTGACTACACCTTGTGGGGACCGACTGCACCTTTTGGGGACCAACCTCACCTTGTGGGGACCAACCCACACTTTGCAGGAAAATACCTCACATTTCAGGGACTGACCACACCTTGCAGGGAACAACCTCACCTTGCAGGGGCCAACCTCACCTTGCAGGGACCAACCTCACTTTGCAGGAACCAACCTCACCTTGCAGGGTCCAACCTCACCTTGTGGGGACCAACCTACACCTCACAGGGAACGACCTCACCTTGCAGGGACTAATCGCATCTTGCAGGGACTGACCTTACCTTTTAGGGACCGACCGCACCTTGCAGGGACCAACCTCACGTTGTAGGGACCAACCTCACCTTGCAGGGACCAAACTCACCTTGTGGGGACCAAACTCACCTTGTGGGGACTGACTACACCTTGTGGGGACCGACTGCACCTTTTGGGGACCAACCTCACCTTGTGGGGACCAACCCACACTTTGCAGGAAAATACCTCACATTTCAGGGACTGACCACACCTTGCAGGGAACAACCTCACCTTGCAGGGGCCAACCTCACCTTGCAGGGACCAACCTCACTTTGCAGGAACCAACCTCACCTTGCAGGGTCCAACCTCACCTTGTGGGGACCAACCTACACCTCGCAGGGAATGACCTCACCTTGAAGGGACTAATCGCATCTTGCAGGGACTGACCTTACCTTTTAGGGACCGACCGCACCTTGCAGGGACCAACCTCACGTTGTAGGGACCAACCTCACCTTGCAGGGACCAAACTCACCTTGGTGGGACCAAACTCACCTTGTGGGGACTGACTACACCTTGTGGGGACCAACTGCACCTTTTGGGGACCAACCTCACCTTGTGGGGACCAACCCACACCTCGCAGGAAAATACCTCACATTTCAGGGACTGGCCGCACCTTGCAGGGACCAACAGCACTTTGTGGTGTCCAATCCTTGGATCCAGGAGGGTAATTCTTGTTTTTGGGTAATGGGTCACGTTTAGGACTAAGGTGTGTTATGAGTTTAGGTTAGGGTTAGGTTTAGATTAGCCATTAGGGTTAGGGTCAGGGGTAGGGTTAGGTTAATAATGGAAATCAGAAGTCCTGCAAAGAGTTTGTGTGAGGTTGTGTTCTTCTATAGACATATTAGCAGATTTTAACCATAGACCCTCCTCCACTGCTTCTCAAAAGGCCCAGGCTTTGCTTTTCCTCTGACTGTGGACCCTGTGTTGGTGTTCAGCAGTCTGATGAAGAGGATGCTCCCCATGGTCCATAAAGTCTCCTGCAATGGGGTCACCTTTTTTTGCAGCTTTTATGGTGATCCTAGTCTTCACTGTTGCCATGTTGTAAATCTGTGTTCCCAGATGGCAGCAGGACTCCATGGAAGAGTCGCTCAGCATCAAGGGAGATTAAAGTTCTCAGTTTAAGCTGCTGCAGTAAAAAGGCAGTAAAACAGATAAAGTAGAGCAAGGCTATGGCTAAACAAAAGCCGTCAGTATCCTGTAGTTGAATCACTCCAGAGGTTAGCCAGGGATGCTGCCTGGAATACTAGTGATATTAACAGGCTCTAGTATCCGACCCACCTAACTCACTAAAGCTATATGTTGTGTCATCACCTGATCCTGGGGAGAAAACAATGGCTTCTCTAAACCATGAAAGGAAGTCTGGTCAGCCAGGAATAATAAATTGATCATTATTTATACCTAAAACGTATATGCTTGTTGTAATTTCATGAATTTAGCGTTAATCAGAAAAAAAATAAACAAAATTTCAAGTCACGCCTCCCTCCTGCCATCTTCCAGCAGTGACGTCACGGTGCGGTAAGCCTAGCGCCATTCTCCCCGCTTTCCAAGCTAAATCAATGGGAGCTACTAGACACATCTGCAATCAACAACAATTATTGAAGATTTCCAGAGGACTTCACCATTGAAATTCACCAGAGCTATAGTGAAACTGACAATGCCCACGTGCATGGCAGCTGGATGCTGGAATACATCGGGTAAAAGTGAAAAAAAGAGTTATTCCACCTTTCTGATTCCTGATCCTCCACGGACGGGTTGGTCGTTGGATCGCCAACTTGAAGAGGGAGGATTTGCCATCGAACTTCTGGCCAGAGAAAAAACCCGTAATATGTAGCCAACATTTGGAAGAAGAATGTTTTCAAGATGACTTGGATAATAGCGCGTTGTGACAAACACCAGATACAGCACTGGGACTTGATCAACAGCCGATACCGCACCGTGACGTCACTAACCAGTAGGTGGCAGTAGTGTTCTTTGACAAACATGGATGAAAAAAAATCCTGCAAACTTCTGACAAAGCTGCATCTTTCCTCCAGCAGGGAGGATAATCCATGAGCTGAAGACTCTGCCATCAACCATTTGCAAGACTGCAAATAATTACATTTTAAAGGTCTGTGCAAACAGCAGCTTCCACATTAGTCTGTTAATTCAGGCCAATCACTTTAAAAAAGAAACTGCACCGGGAGGATATGCTGCCTTCATTGTGTTCCCCACTGACTGATAAATGCACACTAATCTCCTGAGCCTCGGGTCACCATTTATAACATCTGATTAGCCAGTCACTTCATTTGGATGGGATTAAACTGATTTCAGATAATAAAGTAAAAAATCTTGGTGTTGTTTTTGATCAGGACCTGTCATTTAGGTCCCATATCAAGGAGGTTTCTAGAATTTCCTTCTTTCATCTGAGGAACATTGCAAAAATTATAAATATCCTGTCCAGGGGTGATGCTGAGAAACTAGTCCATGCATTTGTTACTTCAAGGCTGGACTATTGTAATTCTTTACTATCAGGAAGTCCACAAACTGTAGTTAAAAGCCTTCAGCTGATCCAAAATGCTGCAGCCAGGGTTCTAATGAAAATTAAAAAGAGAGATCATATCTCGCCTATCCTGGCTTCTCTTCATTGGCTTCCTGTTAAATCAAGAATAGAATTTAAAATCCTCCTTCTCACATATAAAGCCTTAAATGGCCAAGCTCCATCTGATATCAGAGATCTGATTGTTCCTTATGTTCCTAACAGAGCACTTCGCTCTCAATCCGCAGGTTTACTAGTGGTTCCTAGAATTTCTAAAAGTAGAATGGGAGGCAGATCTTTTAGTTCTCAGGCTCCTCTCCTGTGGAACCAACTACCAGTTTTAGTCCGTGAGGCAGACACCCTGTCTACTTTTAAGGCTAGGCTTAAAACTTTCCTTTTTGATAAAGCTTCTAGTTAGAGTGGCTCAGGTTATCCTGAGCTATCTCTATAGTTATGCTGCTATAGGCTTAGACTTTTGGAGGACATAGGGACCCCCATTTCATCATTCTGCTTCATTCTCTCTCTGTTCTCCTATTCTGCAGAATCTGTTAGTTCAATCTCTAACCTTCTGCTCTCTCTGCTTTTCCTCAGAGTAGCTTTGCCTCGTCTGTTCCTGTTTGGCTGTGACGTCATCCTGGAAAGAAACATCAGCTGTGCTGCTTCTATCAACACCCTTGTTTATAGATGTTGGAGATCGGCCTGTTTTCCAGTGTGGTCCTGTTTCTCTGACCGTGACTGAGTGGATGTGCTTTCTTCGTCCTCTGGCATGGGAGCTGCCTTGGAGCTCGTCTGCCTGGCTGTGTGTTTCCTGGACGGGGCCGCCTTTTACAGCTGCTTTTTGTATCTCTGCTTCTGTCTCCTTGAACCCCAGTCGGCCTCGGCAGATGGCCGCTCACACTGAGCCTGGTTCTGCTGGAGGTTTCTTCCTGTTAAAAGGGAGTTTTTCCTCTCCACTGTCGCTACAAGCATGCTTAGTGTGGGGGATTGTATTTGAGTCAATGAGTCAATGCAATCAACTGGTTTTCCTTAGATAGAAAACTTTGTATCAATTTGATCTGGTTGAACTGTAAAGTGCCTTGAGATGACATGTGTTGTGAATTTGGCGCTATATAAATAAACTGAATTGAATTGAAATTGAATTGAATTATTTATATATTTCTCTAAATCAGCATAATCATTTTGGCTATAGGTCATATGCGAACAAGATGGGAAGCTGAGAAACAGTATACATTATTCATGATGTGCAGCACGCTGTGGGAGCCAGAGGTATACAAGATTTGTGGGGGAGATTTACCAAAGTCATCCCTTTTTTTATCATACAAAAGCGTTGGAGTGCCGGGGGTCCGAGATAGTGCACAAAGTGTGTAATAAAGAAAATGGTGATAGCTTACGCCGATAAATAAATGTATTTTATCCACTCTAAACCTCCCCTAGTTCCTCCTTTATGTTTTAGAACTTTGAACTGGGAAGGAATCTCTGCCTTTTTTGTTTGCTATCTTTGTTGCCCACACTAAAAAATGTAATGAGCTGAAAGCAGATAATGTCACGGTATATCTCTTTAAAAAGAGTTTGTTATTAAAGTTATGCTGGGCGTTGTACAAAAAACTTAAAAAAAAATATATCTACGTATATAGATATGTGTGTGTGTGCAGAGGTGGGTAGTTTACACAAGAATTGTACTCAGATAAGAAGCACTACTTTAACTGTTTTTACTCCTCCAGTGTTAAAGGGGGGGTTTCACTCAAGCAAAACTATAGAGTATTTAGAAACTGCTGGATAATAACAACAGAATTAATGTTTATAAATGATGCTGTCAAACTGGCTTTATGTGTTCTGGTATTTTAAAGACCAATAAAAATGTTGTTGCTAACATCCAGCCGACCAATCAGAGGAAAGCCTGCCTGAGAATGAGATCTATTAAAAACTACATTCCAGAATAATTTTATGCGTTAAACTCAACCTGCGAAAGAGAAATTGAAAAACCTGTCATGTTGGGGTCTAGTCTTCTAACCCACATGCAGAAACACTCAAGAGACAGGAAAAAAGTTAAAAGATTTATTGACAATGTTTTCAGAAAATGTAAATGGTGTCTTGGTTCGTCTGGCTGGTCACGGGAGGGAGGCAACTAGAGGAGGACAGAAACGGTTAGAGTGGATCCAGGTAACTTGCTGTTTGACAGCGGTCTGGGTTAATACCTGCTCAGGGGGTATTCTGACCAGTTAGGGGGCAGACAGGTAGGCTCCAGGCAGCGAGAGTTTTGTCTTGGAGTTGACTGATCACCTGATATGTCAGGATCTGAGAGGCAGAAAAACACAGAGAGTCAGAGGGGTTTCAAAAAAATCAGGAAACAGATCAGGTTTCAGCTGGCTCAAAGTTTGCCGGTACCGTTACTGGCAAACACTCTGGCAGAGAAGTGTCAGCCTCCTCCTCCTTAAAAAGCCTCCAAATGAGCAGATGGGAAGCAGGTGTGCAGAAGTCAGCTCACGCCCTCAGGAGGAAGATCTCAGGCTCCCTCTGGTGGAGAAAGGTTGACACCCTCTGGATCCCAACAAAACCAATGAATTAAACATTGAGAAAATAAAATTTATAGAATGAAATTTGATAAAATAACATTAAAAAATAATATCTAATAAAATAAAAATTGAAAAATAAAAAATTGGAAAATAAAATTTGAGAAAATAGCAGTTAATAAAATCTTTTTGTCATGAAGAAGTTTTTAAAGTTTAATTTCTTGCATTTTTTTGTATTTCCAGTTACTAAATGTCTGTTTTAATTGCAACAATGTTGGAACAAGAATCCCTCCATAAAGTGGGGGTGGGGGGTCATGTTTGTGTTTTTTGTGTGCAGACAGGCTGATAGGAGAGACTTAGATCAGAGATAAATGACTTCATTAAAGTGTGAGTCTCTGAAGCCGGAGTGAGCCCCGTCTCCTCCCCCGTGCCATCACAGATTATGAACTCCATAAATCAATAGATTTCTGTAAAGGATGGCGCTCGCTCCACTGCTGGGGCCGACGCAGCTAAGGGCTCTCACATTCTGTCATTAGCCAGGCTTTGAGAGGATGCTGCGGCGGCGGGGGGACGTAGACTTATCATCAGCTTTCCCTTTTCTCCTCCGATGATGGAGAGAACTTTTTTCTAAACTTTGTAGAGTTGATGTGAGGGAAACCGGAAGCCATCCAGCTGGTTTGGTACCAGCTTAGAACTAAAGCATCACCTACAGCAGAAGATCATTACGCAGATGTAGAAACACCCATGGGTCAGATAAGGGAATAAAAATGGACGTTTCTGACGGGTTTTAATGAGCAAATTAACTGCAGGATATGCAAAGCTTAATAAGACAAAGCACACGAGTAACCATGTCTAACAGAAGAATAAAACTTTAAACTTTAAGTGAGGATCAAGCTATTGTTTATTTGGTCCTTTTTATCCCCCTAAGCGTCCTTTCCACATACTGAGCTTAGTTTGAACAATTGATTATTATGTGAGCGATGAAACAGCAAAGTTAAATTCCATGTTTGTTTGCTGGGAGTTGGTCAATAAAATGGATTCTAATTTGATCCTTAAGTACCTTTTCTATCTGAGAGACATTTCCCAGTCCGATCATCGTCTGTGAAACTTAATCAATGTGTTTCACAGACGCCTGTAACTTTCTTCCTTTCTAGGTGGAAAAGCTACGATTTTAAACAAGAGATACATTAAAATGGTTGTGCCAGTAAAGAGATGAAGTCAGATGTTGATAAACACGAATGCAGGCCAGAGCAGCAGCCAGAGATCCTAATGCTACGTTCACACCAGACGTGCAGTGAGCAGCAGATTCAGCTGGTTTCCATGCAAAGTCAATGGTTGAAGCGCATCAAGGTGCATCTACAGATCCTGCACGTCTAGAGCAGCAGAAGCAGTGCCTCATAAGCATCTGAGGCGCTTCAGAAGCAGCAGCTGCTGGAGCTGGAAACATTGAACTTCAGCTGCTGGACATCAACCAATGAGAGAAGCTGATCTGGGAGCTGGCAGGGAGTCAGACGCAGCACTGCTGATGCAGAGCGCTATGATCACTCCTCTGAAACAGTTTATTAACGCCTAAATTAACTTCAAATGTAGAAACCTGCCGGCAGAATATGTTGGCTTTTATTATCCTGCTGCCTGCAGTTTGTAGCACAGACCTGAAAAACTTATTTATAAACATATATATATATATATATATATATATATATATATATATATATATATATATATATATATATATATATATATATATATATATATATATATATATATATATATATATACAAAAAAAAAAAAAAACTATTTTCTCCCCCCTGGTGGGGTGGTATGTGTCATCCTCAAGCTGGGGTCCTCTACCAGAGGCCTGGGAGTTTGAGGGTTCTGCGCAGTATCTTAGCTGTTCCTAGGACTGCGCTCTTCTGGACAGAGACCTCTGATGTTTTACCTGGAATCTGCTGTAGCCACTCTCCCAGTTTGGGGGTCACAGCCCCCAGTGCTCCCATTACCACTGGCACCAATGCTTCTCTTACTTTCCACATCTTTTCTAGCTCCTCTTTCAGCCCTTGGTATTTCTCAAGCTTCTCGTGTTCTTTCTTCTTGATGTTGCTGTCGCTTGGGATTGCCACATCTATCACTACTGCCTTCTTCTATATATATATATATATATATATATATATATATATATATATATATATATATATATATATATATATATATATATATATATGTTTAACAGTTCAGTCCAGTGTCCAAAGAGCGGGGAAGGTTCCTGCCGGTCGACTGAGCAGAAGCAGCGGGCGCTGCCAGAGACTTCCAGACGTGGAAGGCTGCAGGATGACAGGAGGCCGGCTGGCTGGAAAGGATGATCAGAACACTAATTATGCTAGAAAACTCTCTTTACCAAGAAGACGCAGAAGAGCTAAAATTTTATTTCTAAGCAGAATCATATAAATGTTTTTAGCTAAACTAGTTATATCACAGTTAATGGTACATCTAAAAGCCCATATCATCCATTATGGGGTCAATGTAACTGAAAAGGTCTTATAATTCTCTAACCTTACTTTTTAATCACGGCTTCTCCATGAATAGTAATATGTCTCTTTCTTTTTTCCAGGGTTATAAATATGAGGTGAGACTTATTTCTATTAGCCGATGGCCTCAGGGCCGGACGGGGCCCATATTTATCCTGGTGCCACACAGTTTGAAGGATGGGAGAGGAAGTAAAAAAGAAGTCCAGAAAGCAGAACCACCTGCTCCCTATAATCAGATCAGGACGCCTTCTAAAAGGCTCCCCATTTTTAGGAGACGTGTCAAACAACAGGAAACAATAACGCATTTATGTGCTGCAATCGTAAAGTAAACACGTAAACAACGTCTGTAAAGACACTTTACCGTGTGATTTGATGGAAATGATCTTAACGCTGAACTTCTCTGTAAATGATAAAGGTGGAAATGTTCTTACAGTCTGAGGACTCCGAGGCAAACACCTGAGGTGGTTCTCCTGAGGTGGAGGATCTTTGATGCCGTGTCCTTGTCTTCTTTCCAAAGGTTCTGGGAACCGTTAGAGAACCGTTTGGCACCATGCTTTAAATAGTATACCAGAAGATTTGGAGAATCTAAAATGCTAACTTTCAAATGAAAAAATGTACTCAAGGAAAATTCTGGATTTGGTCTTTTTTTTTTTTTTTTATGAAAATGATTCCAAAAAAGTAAAAAAAAAAAAATCCACTGGACTTTATTTCCAAGTTTGAAGACGTTTCGCTTCTCATCCAGGAAGCTTGGAGATTGGAAATCATCAGCATCAACAGCGTCCTGCCCAGCCGCGGTGGGTCCAGGGTGGGTCCGGGGGTCTGGGGTCCTCTGGCGTCGGGGGTTCGGGTTCTGTTGGGAATGCTGCTTGGGGTACACAGACCCCAAGCAGCAGAGTGGTGGTGGAGGGATGAGGATTTTAGAAGGGCTTTGGGTCTGGCTCCCTGTCTTGGTCCTGGTCCGTGCCGTCCCTTGGTGGGGGCCTCGTCCGGGGTGGGGGTTCTGCATGGTGCATGCGGGCTGGGGTGCCTATTGGAGTCCACATTTGAGCAGGCACAGGGGGGATCGGTGTCTTCTCACACCCCTGTTCTCTGGCTGCCACCCGGAGTCTGGGGCCTGGAGAAAGAGCGAGCCGCCTGGTTCCTGGTCTTGGTGGCTGCGGGGCCTGGTTGGCCTGCCGGTGCTGGGGCTGTCACTTCTTCTCCCCCCCCACAAAAAAAGGTTGGAGAGAGGGGCGAGTAGTGGCTAGGAGAATTAGTTAAGGGGGGTGGGGGGTCTCTGGTTGGGTGGCCGGTGTGGGGCATGTTAGGCCCCGATCCCGGGGGAGGTTATGCTGGGGGTGGTCTGGTCCGGGTGCGGGGTGGGGGGCCGGGCCCAAAGCAGGAATGAGATGGGTTGGTGTAATTTCAATTCTTTGTATGACCAATGTGACAAAAAAGCCGACTTGACTTTTTCATTTCAAAATGTCAGAAATAGCGTTTAGTTCCAGGTTTTATCCAGCAGCCCAAAAAAGCCTGGTTTATGTTTAGAAAACATGCAGATAGAAACGGTCTCCTGTACAGGGGTTGGGGGTGATAGTGGAATGATAACGGGAAGGAATCAACTCTATTACTGCTTTGTAGGTTTTTGAAAGCTGGAATCTCAGCCCCCCCCCCCTCCATGTTGGGCTACTGGATAAAACCTGGAACTCAACATTATTTCTGACATTTTGAATCGAAAAATCTTCCAGGATGAGAAGAGAAACGTCTTCAAACTTGGTCCAGTGGATTTTTAAAAAGCTTTTTTGGAATGACTCTGACCTGGATGACTGAGAATCTTTACCAGCATTTTTAATGAGAAATTAGAATAAAATTATTATCATATTTTTTCTTGGCACATTACTACCAGTGGTGCCAGTAGAGGCTGCAGGGCTTACAGATACTGTCAGAGCATCAGCCTGATGAAGTCTGAGCAGGTTCCCTCTGACTGTAATTCAGGGAAGAACATTCATCATGTCCAAAGTGGATCATTCAGACTGCATGAAATCTGTTATTTGGTGATTGTTATTGGCATGTTGCTTTAAATGGCTCAGCTCCCAATAAAAATGCTGGCTCGTCTCCCCAGTCCCTGCCTCTCTGCTCTGTGTTTAAAGCTGAAAACAAAGAAGAATAAAAAACAAAAAGCCTTGCTAGACTAAAAACGATCACAGCTCAAGGTTTCTGCTTAATTTTTGCTCTAAGTCGGTTGTTTGCTAAATCTACAGGAACTAAGTGAGGAAAATCGGTAAAACAGCACATATCCCCCGAGATCTGGGTTCACGACGTCATTTGGAAAAAGGCAAATTCATTTAGTAACGCTGCACTTCATACTCTGAAACCCTAAGAGGAAGCCAAGCCTTCTCTCCCTAAACTCTGTTCCTCCTGGCCGCCGGCGCGCAGCGAGCGCTTCGCCCGAAGCTGTCCGCTGATCGAACACAAACTGCTGTGTAATTGTATAGAGCTCCTCTCTCGACCTTCTCTGTCAGGAGAGAAATAGGGGCCATCATTCATCCTTGCCATTACCGGCCTGCCTGCCGTGAATAATGCAATTTGTATCCTCTATGGAGTGCATCCAGAACAACAGACACTCCAATAAACAAACAGCAGATCGCAGTAGAAATCCACTTACAGCGGCCGGCCTGGCAGGCAGCATCACCATTAGCAGCCAGCTCAGGTCCCATCATCCCGCGCTCAGGCATCCCTACCTTATCCGCTCGGTGGAGGCCTATGATAATGAGGCTGCCAGCTTTGTTCTGCTCAATTGCTGGATCAAACACATGAACTCAGGAGCCCAGACACACACCCACAACCATGCAGAGGTGGGAGCCAAAAGTGAAGGTAAGGTCACTCTGTGACCTCTTCCGAAAACCAAGAGTCAACTGGAAAGCATGAGGAGGGCAGAGGCCGGGGAGTTAGTGGGAGCTGATGGATGGGAGCAGCCGGGGTTTCAGCCGCACGCAGCTTATAATCAGAGCAGATGAGGTGTTGTTACAGAGATTGATGTCACACGCTGTGGAATTGAGTTTTTAATTAACTTTTTAAATTGTACATGTTAGACATGTTCTTCATTTATTGATTTTCAGGCAGAAGTTCAGCTGAAGACCCCCATCATCAGAGGCTAACCTGCCTCTGACGCAAAACAATCAGCTTACAACCGCACCTCCGCGAAGCCCCGAAACCTGGTCAACCCGGCAGGCTGATCAGGTTACGCTGGATGAAGGCTGCCGTTCTGAACTTTCCTTTTCTTCCAGGCTGCTTCTCGATTAGATCGGCAAATCTTTTTCTATGATGACATCCTTCTGTCTGCAGCCATGTTTCTATCTTTATGGATGCTGCGCATTCAACAGGTTTCGGGGGGGTTCTTTCAAAATAGTTGGTTCACAGATTCATGGCTTGCCCCCCCCATCAATTCACAGTCCTCTGCCCTGTGAGGTTTACCCATTAGCTGTAGCTTGCTGCCTGTCGGCCATTCATTCAGAATAGGTCCATCTGGCTTTCCCATGATGCTTCTTCAACCTCGTCCCTATCAGAGCGTCATTCCTGCCGGACTCTTACAGCGTTCCCCGTCACATCTTAACCGCTCTGGCAGAAGACCGCCATGCTGAGTCTGGCTCTGCCAGAGGTTTCTTCCTGAAGCAGAACTCTCCACTGTCGCTTCATTCTTGCTCATCACCGACAGGTTCACGCACACCTGTGTTTATCCAAGCTGGACAACTATCTACGGGGTGAAGCATTAGCATTAGCTCACGCTGTCTTCTGGATCTCACAATGCAGCTCAAGCAGAACCATCAGTCTATGGACTGAACCAACTGCATCTATCTCAACTCCACCATCAGTTTCAGTTTCAAAATTCAGCGCTAATGTTTCTTGCCGGGGTCTGATAAATAACATTCCCTCTTAACTGGTGGAAAATGGATGAATAAAGATCCTCTAATTGTCCTTTTCTGTCCTTGTGAGTTTTTCAGCTTTCCATCCAGTTTGAAGTTTGCTTGTTTGTTTTTTTTTTACCCATTTTTACTTTTCCAAAGTATAGTAACCTGCAAGTCAGTTACAGAAAGCAATCTATTCTCTAAATAACAAATGACTCTAACATATGGCTGCTCTCACCATTCTGTTGCTAGAACTGTTGCCAAGAAGCAGAGATGGGAAGTAACGAAGTACAAATACTTCATTACTGTACTCAAGTAGATTTTTCTGATATTTTTACTTTACTTTACTACTCATTTTTATGGCGACTTTTTACTTCTACTCCTTACATTTTTACACAAATATCTGTACTTTCTACTCCTTACATTTTAAAAAATTGTCTCGTTACTTTAGTTTTGAATCTTTTCAATGGAGTTACCGTTATTATTTTTCACGTCATCAATACCAAATTCAATCTAATTGGATGGGAATCTACGTTGCATTTGACGCACCAGTACAAGATGAATCGACAGATTCGGCGGTATTCATTGGCGGCAAATCATTGCAGCTTGGTGGCGGTGGCGTTAGCATAGTAGCATGGACGACGAGATGATTGAAAATGAACACAACGGAGATCTAGTCCTATTGGCAGACATCCATTTAAAATGTAGGCAACGGCATGAAAAAAGTGGTTTCTACTTTTACTTTTATACTTTAAGTAAATTTACAAGCCTGTACTTTGTTACTTTTACTTGAGTAAAGAAGTTTAATCAGTACTTCCACTTTTACCAGAGTATTTTTTAACACAAGTATCTGTACTTTTACTCAAGTACGGAAAGTGAGTACTTTTGCCATCTCTGCCAAGTAGTGACTTGAAGAAAAGATTAAAAGCGTGAGGAAACGTCTCTAAATCTACATTGAATGGACATTCATCTGCAAACAGGAGAGCTTCCTGAAATTGGTCTGCACCAATGTTCCCACTAAGCTCCGTGTGCATTCCCAGTGCACAAAAATCTATTCAACGCATGAAATAAAATCCAACATAAAATGTGAATTAGACCTATAAAGTTTTTTTGGATGTTACGGCTGCAGTGGGTTTCTGCACTTTTCCTTGCAGGGTTCTGGATGCAGGCCTTCTGCAGGTGATCTGTTTTTGCCCTAATTGATGCTCGTCTGCTTTAAAAGCTGTCATGCAAGCAGCAGACAGGAGGGCTCTCTCTCTTACCTCCTCAGAACCCCGTTTGGCTTGGTTTGGTTTGTATCCTGTCCTATGGTTGGGTTTTGTTAGGTTTGGTTGCATTTGCTTATTTCTGTTTAGTCATTGGTTTTGCAGTAAGCCATTTCCTATTCCCCATTTTATTTATCCTTTTTCAGGTATTGTTTCTTTATTATAATTCAATAAATTTAATTTTTAATTTAAATAAAATTCTTGTGTGGTCTCCTTTAATGTTACCCCCACCAAACAAGCCTGGTGGACGTAACATGGATGATCAACTTAACACTGAAAATTCAAGAAACAGTCTCCCCCCCGGGGATCTACTCTTCATTCCCAGGTTAAAATGTCGCTAACAAATCAGTTTGAATGTAAAAATGTATAAATTAATATGTTTATTAAACCTCAGAGTACTTTAAAAAAAAGAGGTTCTTATTCAGCGAATCAAAGAGTGCTACGCATGGATAAATAAATCATTCCAAGATGGAGCAGAATGTAAGGCATTATTTACCAGTCTAGGCTTCCAGAAATCAACGGCTTTTTAACAGTCCTGCTGTCCAACTAGCACACAGTTTCTGTTAGCTGCGCAGCGCGATGCTGCATGTGAAAAAAGAAAATGATTTTTGCTAAATTCAAGTGCATGATGAAGCAAAAAAATTGAGAGTCAATTAGCACATTCTCAGATATGGTGGCTGCAGCACTTAGAGGAGGAGCTGAAGGAGATCCACAGCGTCTGGATATTTATTCTGAAAAACAAGCATCCACTGCTGATTCAGAAAGAAGTTTAGTTTAATCAATCAGATCTAAAAGCTCCTAAAATTTGGACGACCTTGGGAGAAGTTAGAAAGACAGATGTGAAAAATAGTTTCAGATTTGTTCACATTCTAATGACATTAAATTTATTTATTTATGGATATAGGTTCTTAGTTAATATCCTTAAAGGTGGATTTCGCTGCATATAACAGATAAAATGTCAGAGCGGATTATCATTGCTGGCTCAATCTAGTGATTCATCGGGAAAAAGTTGCGTCTCAGATAAAAATGTCTGTTATGTTAAGAATTAAACTCAATATTCTAAATGTCTCCTAATCTTTTCGTCAATTAAAGAGCAGAAATAATTTGTTTGTAACCTGGAGGCTTAAACCTGCTGGGGCTTTTATTCCTTTGGAAGTCAAATTGACCGACTTAATCAGTCTTCAGTGATGCAGCTGCATCGTTCATATAAGCTTTCCTGTTGCTAAAGGCGTCTTTCTTTCTTAGCTCTGCTCCCTTTCCAAACATTTTTCATTTGCCTTTCTGCTCCCTGCTCGCCTCAACCAGATAATCCTGATGGTAACAGCAGTCTGTAATAAACGTGAAACTGTGACCAAAGAACAGCCAACAGGATGCTTGGGGATGTGCAGAGCATTGCTCCCAAACCAGTGACTAATTAATGGGAGTGTTATCTGCTGATGGTCCATCCTTCCATTCTCCACCAGTTAAAAGAGAAATTCTACTGGAACTCCATTTTTATAGAATAAACTGAAGCAAATTAAGGTCACTACCTCATCAATATAACATTAACAATAAAAGTCATCAAATTCATTTCAACTTTTTCCATAACATCTATCCTATAAATAATGAAATAGTGAAATATTTGGAAATAAATACTATTTCCTTCTGCAGTACTGAATGTGAAATACCCGTCCAGACCCCCTGGTGTGGAAGATATGGGCCTCTATTGCTCTGGTCTGTTCCTGTTTGGCTGTGACTCCATCCTGGAGAGAAATATCAGCTGTGCTGCTGCCATCAACACCTTTGTTTCTAGATGTTGGAGCTTGGCCTGTTTTCCAGTGTAGTCCTGTTTCTCTGACTGTGACTAACTGGATGTGCTCTCTTCATCCTCTGACATGGGAGCTGGCTCGGAGCTCGTCTGCCTGGCTGTGTGTTTCCTGGACGGGGCCGCCTGTGGAGCTGGTTGACAGTTGCCTTTTGTATCTATGCTTCTTTTTCTATGTCTGCTTCTGTCTCCTTGAACCCCAGTGGGCCTCAGCAGATGGCTGCTCACACTGAGCCTGGTTCTGCTGGAGGTTTCTTCCTGTTCAAAGGGAGTTTTTCCTCTCCACTGTCGCTACAAGCATGCTTAGTGTGAGGGATTGCTGAAGAGTCAATGAGTCGATGCAATCAGCTGGTTTTCCTTAGATAGAAAACTTTGAATCAATCTGACTGGATGATCTGGTGAACTGGAAAGTGACCTGAGATGACATGATGTGAATTGGAGCTATAGAAATAAACTGAATAGAATTTAATTGAATAATGTAAAAATAAAATGATCTGTATGTTGCTAATATCAGACAAACCAAAAACAAATAAATCTCAAATCCTGTCAACTGAGTTGTAGAATAAAAATTTATAAATCTATAAATATTTAATTCTCTGTGAATAATTAATGAGATCCTCGTCAAATGAACATGCAATGTTTATTTATAACACCTGGGGTCCAATTCATGAACCAGGTTTAACAAACTCAGATTCAAATCCTCAACTCTAAATTAATCCAGCCTAAAGTTGGGAACTCTGAGTTTTCTGTTTCACCAAAGCTGCTATTAGGACTCTGAGGCGAGCTATGGACTGAGTCCTGAGAACGTCCACCTCAGGCATCTGCTCCTCCTTGGACAGAAAGGCGGGACGGTGAACTTTCCCAGACACCAGCTCATCGATCAGAAACCCTTTGTCCACCATTGCTTCCATTTCAGGGGTTAGAAGGGAGGTGATGCCACACTGACGGAAGATCTCTTTGTCACTGATGGAACCCTCAAACAGCGCAGACACAAAAGTCAGTGCTCCATGGGGGGACATGCCTATCAGGGCTTTGAAGGTGCAGTGCGACTTGTAGGTCGAGAAAACCTCACTCTGTAGTAGAAGTGAGGAAGGAGTTTGGCATCTCATTTCTGTGCAGTCCAAAATTACATGAGTGTTTTCATAAGTCCCATTGAAGTCTACAGGCCGATTTGCTTTGACTGCATCAGTTGTCATCCAAATTGAAACAGACCCAAGCAGAGTGTAAAGAAAGTTGGCCCACGTTACAATGATCCTGCTCACTGTGGCTCTGTGGATGTTGAACTTGTGGCCGAGCTCTCTTTGAGTGCAGCCAGTGGAAAGATAATTTAGAAAGAGGAATAACTCATCAATTGGCAACAATTTCTGCAAAGAAGACATAATACAATAATTAACCTTTTTATTATAATAATATTAAAAACACTACACATTTACTTTGAATAAAAGCAAATAATTGTAACGGCTAAAATTAAATATTTACACATCTACTCTACAAAGTTAAATGACTCATTTCATAAAACAAACCATAACTTACAGTTGGTCTGGTCACAGGGCTTTCAGTGGATGTGCTGCTGGAAAGATTTCTCTGAGCACTGTTCACCCTCACCATCCTGGTGGTTGCCTCTTGAATAAGATACCAGAATGCCATCAAATGCTCATATGATGGAAATCTGCATTAAAAGAGGAATGTTATTACATATTGTTCAGCACAGTGTAATTCAGTATTTTCCCTAAACAGAATGGATAATAGTGATTGACATTTTCAATAGATTATATGATGTGCACACAGCAACACATTGTCTGCAACTCTTAACTCTGCCAATTGTTATATTATTGTTTTTTTTTTCAGTTAAACAAAAGAAAAGACAGCTATTACTGCATATACCAAAACCAGAGTAAATATATTAATCAAAAACAGTACAATATACCGTGTAAATGGCCATTCTTACCTGGTATAGAAACGAATATCCTCTTTGGATGAGGCGAACCGCTGCAGCCCAAATCTGAGGGTCAGATGCTGAGACTCAAGCTGCTGTCTGAGCTCCTCGATCTCTTTACACATGTCAGTGTATTTACTGCGGTCCACGGTGATGAAAGGACTCTCCGCGTAGTCGTGGTCCTCAATCATGGGGACAGGCGGAGTTTGAGCAGGCTCACAGTCCATCTCCATGCCTGTGTTGCTGCCAGACGCAGCAGAGTTGTCATCCGCGGCGCCATCTTCTCCTCCTGTTGCGGCTGCCCGAGGACAGCGTTCCCACACTCCTGGCCTCGATGGCTTGGTCCACGGAAAAATAGATGGAACCGTTCCGGGTTTAAGTTTTCGCCTCCCTTTGGCCGATAAAACAATTTCCCCAGTCTTAAAATGCCTGCTGCAAACTGAAGAGTTAGCCATCACGGTGAAGTCTTTCCTTCTTATTTTTGCTAGCCATTGAGCGCGCAAACTCGGGTCTTTGGGGAATCTGTGGAAGCTCAGCACTTTGTTGAACCTACCCCCGGCGGTACACAGCGGCACAGAACAGTAAAAGTTGTTCCCACCTTCAGCTTTTTGACAGGTTACGATCCTTTTTGCTTTGGACATCATTTTCTCAGTGCGGGGGGATAGCGCAGACTAGCGACAGGAAGTAAACACTTCAACTTCCGGTAATAAATCCGGAAGTTAGCATTTTCTCGTGCACGGAGTGAATTAACTTAAATTTCAATTATGTAGATGCTACATCATTTTTTAGTCCACAGCTTTAATGTAGTGTAATGGATTCCATAACACTATAGGATTTGCATGGGAAGCATCTTTATACATTAATAATTTTATGTAAATATAAACATTTTAAATTTGCTGTTTCAGAGTAATTTATGAAAAACAGGGTTCTTCGCCCATCCTGGTCTGGTTACAATATATCCCCGGCGCTGTAAGGGCTCTGAGGCGCCTCGGTTGTCCATCACAATAAAGCGCCACAGAGAGAAAAAAGGCAAAGAGTAAACAGTCTGTCAAAACGCCAGTAATGGACCATTAGCCGAAATCATTTTCATTAAATCCTTGATCAGTCAAAGAGTCTGTGTTTTGTTTTAGGAAAGGAATGAGCACAGCCAGTGAAAAAAAATAAAATAAAATATTTGCCTTTATTTCAAACCCAAGCCATTAGGATCAATTGCTATTGATTCAGTGGAGCCATCATTAGTGTAGAGCCATCAAAGTGGGAGTGAGCCTGAGTCCTATCGGTTGGGTGTTAATGAGATGCTTGAGTTTATCTAACAGTGTTGGTAATGACCAAACCAAGTACAAATTACACAGAAAAAGGCCTTTTAATTACCTGTGATCAGAAGATAACCTGTAGGTTGCCTCTGCTTCAGCATTTGACATTCAGTATTAGCATGGTTGTAATTTCATCGGAACCAAATGAAAGTTTCCCTATGGTGCCGTGGTCAGGTAATGAGCAACATTAGAACAGTTTTGAGGCTTCAGCTCGTCCCATTCACTACTGCTGAGATCTAGTTTGATGGCTCTACACCATTTTACACTTTAAAACTATCCTGTAACTGCCGAATCTGTGGTTTGGTGGTTATTGAGTTATATTGGAGGTTTTCTTTGCTTTAAATATAGAATGAAAACCATGTTGTTACTCCAACCAATCTATTCTTAGAATCTATCCAACTGACAGCAGCTCTCCTCCAAACTCCCACAAAACTGAGGCTGTTTGAATGCCTGTGGAAGTTCCGGGCGAGCTGAACCACTTCCTGAAGCAGTCAGGTGGTATGGCGGCAGCGAGGCTTCGGACGTCACAGATTTTGGCCCCTCCCCTAAATGAAGCGAGCCTCGACACGCACTTCGCGGAAATGCCTCCGCTGCTCGACGCAGGCCTCTAGTCCTCGGCTCATCTCATAACATCTGTAGGGATTACTAACCCAATGCATGAGACATGCTGAGTGATTAATTAAACAGAAGAACAATATTTTATCAGCAAAGGGTTTTCTGTCCTCAGCTGTTTTGATAGGCTGGTGGTTTTCATTAGACAGATTATCTTCTCTGGGCTTCATAACCAATCTTTTCCTATCGTGACATCTGCAGTAATGTTGACTGTGTGCTTGCGATAAATCACGTTATTTAGTAGCACCTTGATTAGTTGAATACAGCCATTAGAGGCCGTAGTAGCTAAGGCTAACTGGCTAACTGGCCTGTTTTATTTACAGGTTTTCAGATGCAAGCGTTAGCCGCACTGCTGGCGTATTATTAGGCTAAGCAGTCCGACACAGTAAAGTCATGTTCAGCTCTTGCCTTCGCAGCTTTGTAACGGACAGTTAGTATCCATCCAATTGTTTAGCGATAGCGATGTCTGCACGTCTTTGTCAGTGAGCAGAGAGATAATGCCGTCTATAGGTTCAGCTCAGACTTGGGGATGTTAAATGAGGAAGGGCGGAAACACCAATTGTTAAATGAGGAAATTATGTCCCCTTGAAAGCAGTTGCGCCTCGGGACTTCCTTTCCGGTTCTTTTCCTAGGAGCAAGTTATTTACTGCTCTTAACTCAAACTGGGTAAAACCATATAAAAGGACTACAAAACAGGAGTAAAAAAGTAACAGAGTTTATTCCAGATCAGGTCGTTACAGGGCAGAGAAAAATGCTTAGAGTTTGCACAGCTGTCCGCGAGTGTCTGGCAAAGATTGAGCCCCGAACAACGTCATCTCCTGCTTCTTATACCTCATGTGTCTATGTGTTGCATCAGGTGGATGCTTAGCTGTCCGTATCAGAAACTGACACGCCATCCATGCCCTGACCTGTATGCATCTTGCCTCTATGCCTCAGGGTTACAGATAGCTCTCTTCTATCAGTCCTATCCTGTGTATATTTAAAAGACAAGAATGCTTTCCTATTTAGATGACCTCCGTACACACAGTGACATCCACCATGTGAAGGAAGGCCTTCTACTCTCTCTAATCTGGCTAATAAAGTAACAATGCACATGATGTATAAAGAATAAACCTAACAGGGAAGAGGTGATAGTAAAACTTTTTCTCAAGTGGCTGTTAAAAACTTTCATACCCCCCCCATCAGCGGAGCAAAGATGCTATGGGGGCTGCTTAATGTCACCTTTATCAATCTTGAGATGCTTGACCAAAAAACAATAAAGAGTCCTAATATAATGTATTATTATTTGTTCAGTTTGTGTTTGTTGATAGCTGCATGTCCATTACAACAGCTTTACATCCCTACTGCAGCGTGGAGGGACCTTTTTTCCTGACAGAGCTATTTGCATAAATCCCAGCAGGCTGAGTTTGCAAATATTCTCACATTAGACTCTGAAAGCTTTGGAAGGTAAAAAGGAAGGGAAGGCTGATACAAAACAGCATTGGTTAGTGATGCTGAAATGTTTTCAGTCATTAAACTAATTCAGCGTCCTCCACCCTGATGCATTCATGCCCTGTGTTGATAGTCTTTATGCGTCCTGCATTTAAACACTGAGCTGCCTTCATTATTTAAGAGTCTAGTTGGTCCTGAGGTCCTGTAGGTGTACAGAGGTACGGGATGGGATAATGTAGGATTGGAGGTGACGGCATTCCCACACAGTGTTTCTCATTAAAAATGCATCTGGGTGAGTGTTAATGGTGCTGGCTTTAACAGAGTGGCTCATCAGGCCACTTTACTGCAGACGGTGGAACATCACATGGACACCCATCGAGGTGCTGCTCAGCTAAATTAACAGGCTCACATTCTGAACAATCACGGTGATAAAACAGGAAGTCTTTAAAGCTTTTGTCACTTTTTTTTGTAAGATGATGGAATGACCTACCAAGTACAACAAGAACAGCAGCGTCCCTGTCTGTCTTCAAACAACTCCTAAAGACAAACCTCTTCGAAGAGCATCTCCTATCCTAACTGTTACCCATCTGTACCCGTCTACATCTCTTTCTGTTCTTCCCTCTATCGCTTTGCTGTCACCACTGATTCTGTTCTTTCAATTCAATTTCAATTCAATTCAGTTTATTTATATAGCGCCAAATTCACAACACATGTTCAACCATGCACTTTACAGTTCAACCAGATCATACAGTCAAATTGATACAAAGTTTTCTATCTAAGGAAAACCAGTTGATTGCATCGACTCAAATACAATCCCTCACACTAAGCATGCTTGTAGCGACAGTGGAGAGGAAAAACTCCCTTTTAACAGGAAGAAACCTCCAGCAGAACCAGGCTCAGTGTGAGCGGCCATCTGCCGAGGCCCACTGGGGTTCAAGGAGACAGAAGCAGAGATACAAAAAGCAGCTGTAAAAGGCGGCCCCGTCCAGGAAACACACAGCCAGGCAGACAAGCTCCAAGCCAGCTCCCATGCCAGAGGACGAAGAGAGCACATCCAGCCAGTCACGGTCAGAGAAACAGGACCACACTGGAAAACAGGCCGATCTCCAACATCTATAAACAAGGGTGTTGATGGAAGCAGCACAGCTGATGTTTCTTTCCAGGATGATGTCACAGCCAAACAGGAACAGACGAGGCAAAGCTACTCTGAGGAAAAGCAGAGAGAACAGAAGGTTAGAGATTGAACTAACAGATTCTGCAGAATAGGAGAACAGAGAGAGAATGAAGCAGAATGATGAAATGGGGGTCCCTATGTCCTCCAGCAGTCTAAGCCTATAGCAGCATAACTATAGAGATAGCTCAGGATAACCTGAGCCACTCTAACTATAAGCTTTATCAAAAAGGAAAGTTTTAAGCCTAGCCTTAAAAGTAGACAGGGTGTCTGCCTCACAGACTAAAACTGGTAGTTGGTTCCACAGGAGAGGAGCCTGAGAACTAAAAGATCTGCCTCCCATTCTACTTTTAGAAACTCTAGGAACCACTAGTAAACCTGCAGATTGAGAGTGAAGTGCTCTGTTAGGAACATAAGGAACAATCAGATCTCTGATATAAGATGGAGCTTGGCCATTTAAGGCTTTATATGTGAGAAGGAGGATTTTAAATTCTATTCTGGATTTAACAGGAAGCCAATGAAGAGAAGCCAGGATAGGAGAGATATGATCTCTCTTTTTCATTTTCATCAGAACTCTGGCTGCAGCATTTTGGATCAGCTGAAGGCTTTTAACTACAGTTTGTGGACTTCCTGATAGTAAAGAATTACAATAGTCCAGCCTTGAAGTAACAAATGCATGGACTAGTTTCTCAGCATCACCCCTGGACAGGATATTTCTAATTTTTGCAATATTCCTCAGATGAAAGAAGGAAATTCTAGAAACCTCTTTGATATGGGATTTAAATGACAGGTCCTGATCAAAAATAACACCAAGATTTTTTACTTTATTATCTGAAATCAGTTTAATCCCATCCAAATGAAGTGACTGACTAATTAGTTTCTTTTTCAGAGACTCTGGTCCAAAGACTATAACTTCTGTTTTGTCTGCATTCAGAAGCAGAAAGTTAAGAGTCATCCAGGTTTTTATGTCTTCAAGACATGCCTGTAATCTATGTAATGGGTTAGCTTCATCTGGATTATAGACAGATATAGCTGGGTATCATCAGCATAACAGTGGAAATTAATCCCATGCTGTCTAATAACTCTACCGATTGGGAGCATGTATAAAGTAAAGAGAATTGGTCCTAGCACTGATCCCTGTGGTACTCCACAGGTAACCTTTGAGCATGTTGAAGATCTATCATTAACATGAACAAACTGAATTCGA